ACTTGACCATTTATAATATTCTTGAAATTTCGCGACTTTCGTGACAGCATAACTCTTCCTAATTTTGCATTTAATAATAATTGCAAATTCTATTTTTGTGCATAATTTATTTCGCTTAAGATATAGTAATCGATAATTCCACCTCAAAGTTATTAGATAATATTGCATTTGATATTTCAACAACAAATTTATCCGATATTCTTCCTTTCAAACTTTTAAAGAAAATGCAACAATAAGTTTTCTCATCTTTTTCTAGCTTGATCTAATTATCTTTTCAGGTGTTTCATATACTATCTAGCATTCGTGATGATAGCACTATGGAATATCACATCTTTACTGCAACAGTTTCATATTTCAGGCTTGGTATTACTCCCAACCATCTAGCAAAATATATTCCAGCATGCAAAAAAAAAAAAAAACAAGATAATTGCCAACAAACCGAATTCCGATTTCCATATAATGCATTCTTCCTTTAGTGATCGCAAATTTTTCTTCAGGAATATTGGAAGATGAGCGAAAAGAAATGATAAATTTGATACGAAGTAAATCGCCAGATCGATTATCCCGATCAATATCTACCATTTCGTCCATTGATCAATGTATCGAGAATTCGAGAGTATGACTTCTCCTCTTTCTTTTTATCAAATAATAACATCAACAAAAAAAGGATAAACAATATGTCGTGATATGAAATAATTAAGATTTTATTATCTTCCTGCTAGACAATTGCATACATACAGTATGCATACAATATGCATTCAAAAAATTCAATAACATTAGCAGATTTGCAAACTTCATCTTCTAATTTTCAGATCTATTCTTTTTATATTTTACAGCAAGAAGTAAATGAAGTGAAAGCGAAGAAGGAATCCAATTTGTTGAATATTTTACGGTTCGCACGTGATGAATGGCTTTTGTTATTTTTTGGATTACTTTTTGCGATTCTAAAAGGATTTATATTTCCTATTTTTTCGATTATCTATGGAGCTATGTTTCAGGTAAATCTTCGAGTGCAAAAACTTCAGGTAAGTAATCAACGACAAATATAATGTCTGTCTGATTAATAATTTGATAATAATTTGAAGATAATAAGTTTTTGCACTCCAACATTTATTCTTCGTAAAATATATTACAGGCGTTAACGAAAGCAACTGCTGAGCAACGGTTGCACGAAGCTTTAACGAATGCCATAAATTTCATAATACTTGGCATCAGTTGCGGATTTGTGACATTTTTAGCAAGCTATCTGTTTGCTCTTCCCGGCGAATTGCTTACCAAACGATTACGCATTACGCTATTCACTAATATTATCAGTCAGGTAATAGCAATGGTTTTGTTACATTTGCTGTGGGAAAAAATTGACGCAATACTAGAAAGCAGAAGGAGCCAAGTTGACAAGACTAATAATTGGCCTAGGAAAATTTATAAACCAAATTTGGTTTAAATAAATTATGTAGAAATGAAAGATTCAATAAGCCAACAATTTTCAATCATATAGAAAAAAATATGAAAAAATATTTTTATTGCTAATATTGTTGGATACTGATCCTACTATTCTTTCAAATTTGCTTACTTTTTAGGATGGCGAATACTTTGATTTATTGGAACATGTATCGGGTAATTTAATTACAAGATTAGCTACCGATATATCAAATATTCGTGCTGCAATTGATCACAGGTAAAATAGCAGCTGCATTTATAACAATACTAACATTTTGTAAGCAATCAAGGAAAGCTGTGGAAAGTATGAAAAGAATTGTATTTCAGACTTGCAGATGTATTTCAAACGATAATTTCCATAATAGTTAGTATTGGTGTTGCATTCTATTATGGTCCTAAAATAGCACCAATAGGTATTTTAACAACCACAACACTGGTGCTTTTTCAAATAATCATTACACAGTATCTGAAGAAACGATCAGAAATGGATGAAATGCTAACTTATGGATCATTTCAAGTAATCTCTACTGCTAGATTTGTTTAATATTTAATTATTTACCTATTTCATATTTAATATTTAATATAATTGACAAAATGTTTGCGACTATTTTTCCAAGATGCTAACAATCAACAAACTTTTTACAGCTCGCCACAGAAGCATTGAAGTATCATAAAACGGTCCAATATTTAACATGTGAAAGGTATTTCTGTGATGAGTTTAATCAACAAATGCGAAAATTACATAGCACAAAATTGTATCGTGGCATTATTCAAGCTTTCGCTTTTGCACTTCATTCATGCTTTAATTTTTTTAATTTTGCTGCAGCATACCGTTACGGTTTATGGCTTATAGAGATTGGAAATGCTAATCCATTTCAAGTATTTCAGTATGTTTACAATCTATTTTTTCTTTAATATGCATGATATACATGAGGTACTGCAATATGTGAAGCGGTGTTTTTCAATACGTGAAACACATAATCTCTTAGAAATCTGCTGGAAAAGTATCATCATTCTTTGACAAGAGAGCATAAATTTATTTTAGAGTTAGCATTTGAAAGAAAAAAATTCTAACATATTCAATATAAAGCAAAATAACCTATTTTTCTTAGACAAATGAAAAATTTATCCTAAATTTTGTAATCGCTGTTGTTTTTTGTTATGAATGATCTTTTTAGACTGAATAACAGATTGAAATTAACATAAATTTAATAAAATATCAATAAATGAATACATATCATTACTTGAATTGCAATTACAACTGAAAAATCTCATTAAATGCTCATGATCAATAAGGAAGTATTTGATTTTGAGGCTAAACAACAATATTTACAGGGTAATTGAAACATTGAATGTGGCATCAATGAGCGTTTCAGCTATCGGAGCTTATTTTCCAGAATATATACGGGCATGTTTGAGTGCTAGTTTAATCTTTAAAATGCTTGCTGAAAAACCGAAAATTAGCAGTTTATCAGAAGGTGGAAAGAAAGAAGTAATTTTTACTTGACATTTTTTGTAAAATTTTCATTTTAAGCTAATGATTTTTCTATACTGCTTAAGCATCAGTTCCTCAGTAAGAGCTATTTTGTCCAGTATGCCTAATTAATTTTATCATACCGTTATATTGCCTGTTTTGTAATTTTTTGACAGTTACATTTTTTTATTAATTTTGCATATTTGTTTACCTGTTTATCTCTATTTTCTTTATACCTGGCTACTTTTACTTACTCATTCATCATTTTAACCTAAAACATTTTCTCTTCGCTGATCAAGTGATGATACAGTTAATGAAAGATAGTTAAATTTGATATTTTCCTTTCCTTCATGACCAATGTTTATCAAATCCATGAAAAATAGGTAATCAAAAAAGTACATTCCAGAAAAAATAAATTATGATACTGAATGGCTGCAATTCTTTCAACCATACAAAAAAAACAATCCAAAAAAATAATATTGATTATCGATAAGTAAATCTAAAAATCATTCGATATTTTTATCGAGTTTTTTCATAGGTACTACAAGGTAATGTGAAACTTAAAGATATACGATTTGCATATCCGGTAAATCGAAAATGTTTGGTACTAAAAGGACTCACAATGGAAGCATTGAAAGGTAAAACGATAGCTTTGGTTGGTTCAAGTGGATGCGGTAAATCAACCGTTATTCAACTAATTGAGCGATTTTACGATCCATTCAATGGTACAATTGTAAGTGTTTTTATCATATAAAAAAATTGAAAATTTTAATTTCGAATGTATTTTAAAATCAACTATTAACCACCAATAATAATATTTAGAAAGATTGATTTGAAATGAAATTTTTTAACTCATAAGAATTACTACTGGCTGTTGTGAATTTTGTTGTGAGGTTGGTTTGATTTGATTTGGGAGAGCTTTGTGGTTATGTGGCACAATCGAATCTGTTGATGAAGGTTTCTTGGTGGAGAGATTTTACTCTGGGTTAACGTTATGCAGTTAGCTGTATTTCCTTGAGATGGTAGTTGATCGATCTATTAGATCATGGCCTGATGGATTGGGTTTGGATTCGTTATTTAGGTCTTGGACTAGAATGTTTGTTCCAGACACTGTTGACTTTGATATAATGAGAAACTGCGTTAGCTGATGTAGTTTATTGGGTTTGATGTTTATTTAGTGACAACACCGATAATGCGGGACAATGCTACCGGAGGTAATAATGATGGAGAATAGCAGTTGATTTGATGACAGTTGCAAGAAAGCGCACGGATCGCCCCTCTTGCTGTATTTCACTGTTTATATACCAATGTGGGGCGGTAGCAGGATAGTAGATGATGGGTTTAATAGATGACCCCAGGGTCAGATAGTGTCATGTTGGGGAAGGAAGAAGCACAGAGGACAAAGGGTATTGTTAAATTACTTGTTAGCTACATTGGTTCACACAATGACAAAGAACAGTTAAAGGACAAGGGCGTTTATAAGGTAATTTTTTAATGAATTATAACAACATAAGGAAATTAAATTTAACAAAAAAAAATTTTGAAATGAAGCTTCCTCATGAATTTAGTTTGATAATTTTGTATTGTGGATTAATTTCAGATTTCCGACACTGGTTAAGGTAAGGTATGAGATGGAATTTTGTGAATGAGTTGTTTTAGGTAAGAAGATAAATTTAGAAATAGCTAAATGTAGGAAAGAATCAATAATTTTTGTCAGATGATTTATTAGGCAACGAATTCTTGAAATTAGTTCTGATTTGAAATTTCAAATGTGATATTTTAGATGTATGACGATAGCGATGTACGACATTTGAATCTTTACAATGTTCGAAATCAAATAGCTTTAGTAAGCCAAGAGCCAATCCTGTTCAATTATTCAGTTCGTGAAAATATTGCTTATGGCTTAATTAATGTTTGTCAAAGACAAATTGAGGAAGCTGCAAAACAAGCTAATGCTCATAATTTCATAATGGAAATGAAGAATGTATGCGCTTTTATCGCTTTTTACTTGTTAAATACTACTGTTTTTTTTTCACACATATATCACAGATTTAATTACTTCATATTTAATTAGGGTTATGATACAATTGTTGGTGAAAGTGGTGGTCAATTATCCGGTGGTCAAAAACAATGTATTGCTATTGCACGAGCTATAATTCGGAATCCAGCAGTACTTTTGTTGGACGAAGCGACCAGTGCTTTAGATGCTGAGAGCGAAAAAGTTTAATTTTAAAATTTAAAATTTCTTCTCTTAATTAAAAAATTATACTAGTATTTCTTGTTTTTGTTTAAAAATATGAATTTCGTTTTTCTGATGGAACAAATTTTATTAGGTGGTGCAAGAAGCCTTAGAAAGAGCTTGTAAGGGTCGGACGTGCATTATCATAGCACATCGTTTATCGAGCATTCAGAATTCGGATCAAATTCTGGTAATGAACGATGGCGCTATAGTCGAATTTGGTACTCATCAAGAGTTATTACATCGAAAAGGTCTGTATGCTAATTTGATTGAAATGGAAAATCTTCGATAAATGATGTCACATTTCTGCTTTTCGCTCATTTTATCAATTGTAATGTATTTTGCTATATGATTCATTGTCAAGAATTTGGAAGAAAGTATCAGTGAATATGAGAAATACACAGAAGAAGCAGATGGTATAGTTAACTTTTATCTTATCATAGCACAGCTCCATTTATCAATACGATTCTATCAATACTATTCGATGTGAAATAATTTTTAATAGAAATAATGTTAGATTCTATTTGCGCAAATATATTCTGCAGATGACCTTTCAAAATTTGATACAACTTCATCAGAAAGTTTTTCTGACAGAATCTCATTGTGATGAGCTAAAGTGTTAAGAGAATATCAGTGTGAGATCGTTTATTTGCTTACAATTTCCTTAAATTAGTTCAAAATTATGCATAAATAAATTGGGAAAAATATTTCAAAAACTACGATTTTTCATGCAGAGCTTCTTAAATATTTATATCAGTCTCTCGAATAGGTCTCGAGAGTTGACACGAACCGGTGAATCTCTTTGCGTCATACGCCAATTGGGCGGGCGATATTGCAGTGGATTAATCGGCTTGTATGCTGTTGGTACGCTTTCAGACTGAGCATTTCCAGCACTGTTCGTTGCTTGTCTAAATCATGATTAAAAATTGAGATTTAAAAAATTTTAACATCAATCTGCAATTTCTATCAAATTCTTGAAACTATCAGCTGGACTTTTATTCTTTACTTAATCACAAATTCGTTTTGAATAGAAGAAAAAAGAAACAAAAATTAAAAAGGAGGATTTTTTTTGCGCTCATATGAAAAAATATTTCGAATAACAACTATATTATTCATCATCATATAATGCTCGATGTAATGATCTTAGTTTTCATCTGAATTTAATAGCTGAACAGAATTAAACTTAAAAAAGAAGTTTGAAGAAGTTTGAAATTTAAAATATAAATCCTAGAAACAGGTCAATATTAAAGAAAATGAAAACTTTACTTCTCGTGATATTGGCGATGTTTTTCAGAATAAGGAAGTGTATCACCGAAGCTGAAATTCATCCAAGTTAATCATAATAAACAAGTCAACAGTAGCCACTGTTCAGATTTAACTGACATTATGAACTCAGGAAACTGTAAATTGCATAGGATATATAAAGCCTTTTCTAATGATAATTTAAAAAAAAAAATGGATATTCATTGACTGGCAGGAACGCTTCCCTATAGATACCATCGGGTCCCAATCTTCATAGGTGTGCAATGCTCCGATCAAATCGCTCTTTTTTTACTTATAATAGCTATGAAGCACCATTAGCACCACGGAGCGCAATTATAACTTTTATCGCAAATTTAAATAAACGAATGGGTTCGAGCAGGTTTGCCACAACTTTTTAGCGTCTTGCTCGATGCTGATAACAGTGCTGTGTGAAATGACACTGTTGACAAAGTCCTAGAAGATGTTGTTATTTTCCGGGATCCTGTTGTTACTAAGATTTCTTGTACCGAGAAGTATAGGAATTGAAGTGGTAGCTGCAATAAACAGTAAGTATACTTTTCTGTTGCAGCTATATCTCGTCCATGAGATGTTGCAGCCGGTCCCCCAGAAATACCAGTTGCTTTCGGGCAAATTACTCGGTAAACCCAAATTCGAACACCACCTCTGAAAATTTCCCATTTAAATCTATTTTGATTTGTTAGAGAAATTCAAAAACTTTCTTGCTATAAGTGAAAAGCGAATTTTATTCATGGCTCGTACTGTTCGGTGCGAACATTCGAAATGAAATCGAATTCGGGTCCTTCCTTACTATAACGATCCTTTTGATCAACTATGCCACCAGTATAGTATGACCCGAGTGATACCAAATCTGTACCAATGTATATTTTACGTGGTACCGTAATTGTGCAACAGCGTTGAAGAATGCTAAAATCATTTTTTCGATTAAATCTTCCGATCAAGCATCAAATTTTAAATGTAAAGCAAAACAAAGAAAATTAGCGAGTGAGCATCATCCCATCTGATGAACATTTAAAATTAATTTGAGATCAGTTATCTATGCATATTTAACTATTGAAATTGAATTCGAAATGGTTCAACTTCATGCATTTATTACTGAAATATTATTGGATTGAAATTTTTTTTAAATAGAAATTCACCTTTGTCCGTTGGAAGCCCATTTCATGCTGGAAAATGTGTCAGTTTCAGCTCGACAGCTTGCTTGATTGTCATTGCAGTGAGCGCCGGATGTACCGCATGGTAGTTTGTTGCATTCTGCTTCAATAGCTCCATTTTCATAAACTGTCAACTTTGTTACCACCTTTAATAAGCAAATTTCTTTTATAGCAGAAAGTAAAATTTTATCCTTGCAGTTAAGTAAGCAATGGATCTCATCTAATCAACTAATTATGCTAAAGTATGCCATTAAATAGACATTGTAATTCAAATTAGTGCAATTTTAAGGATAGCATGATGGTGCATCATCGGTTTAAATGAAAAAAGCGTTTAGTTCATGTGCTACTTTGACCTCACTCTGTGTCTTTTCTTTTTCATTTAGGAAACTGTTCACAAATTTCAATTTCACGATGCAATTAAGCATCAAAGTAGATGAAGAGGCAGATTTGAAAGAAGAAAACATACCGGAAGATGAGATTAAGGTAAAATTTTTACCAGCTTGTTGCATCGGGAAAAAGTGCAATTTTAAAAAATTGAGGCTAAATAAGATGTAACATGGGATATTGACTTAATTTAATCAATTTTTTTCCATACTGATTATCATTCTCATATGCAACAATCATACAAATGTTCGGTTCGTACTTTAATCTTATTTCAAAAAGCTTATTTTACTAAGTTACTTCATCATTAAACTATATTATGATCAAATATTTTGTTATTCAATGAAAAGTCACCTACGATAACCGATATCTATCAATTTAGCATTCAAATTGAATTTATACAGAAAATGAAAAAAAAAACATACCTGATTGGGTAAACATTTAGTACCCAAAGTTGATTGTAGCTGATTATTGTTAGCTTCAAAAGCTATTGATAACGAGAATAAATAAAAGAGATTGCATAAGTATTGATTAGTATAGGACATTTTAGTGAGAGAGGAATAGTTCTAAAAAGGAGACGTAATTTAATAATGTTTTGAGCTGCTGAAAATATGAAGAAGTAACAGTAAGGATGAAAGAGGCGGGTAATAAACAGTTCAATCACCTTTTGACCTAAATGTATCGTTGTATAGGCCGGTACAGCAACATCATATCATAAAATAAGGAGGTGATTTTCCCAAATTTGTCATTCATCTAACCTTCTTATCACAATGAAATATTATATATGTGTGTATGTATGCGTATTTTTTTTTTAAAAAAAAAGAAATTGTCATTATTTCTACTGAAAATAATCAGGATTATTGGAGAGAAACTATCATTAACACCTTTCATTTTTCCTCTTTTTAAAGGTACAAAGAAAAAAATGGATAAATTATGGATGGTTATCCATTTCAATCTTTTAAATTAAAATTGTCAAAAAATTCAACCCATTTTTGATGTAATCAATTTTCTTCTTAATACCTATTAACGTACAATATGCGTGACTCGAAAAAAAAGAACAGCTTAAAAGTTAGAAAAAAAGTTACTTTTATATTTCTTTTCAAATCTTATTTTTCTCTAAAATATACAAATTCATATACTTTTTAAATTGATGAAAGTGAAGAAGAAAAAAGGAGGTGATAAATGATCAGCGCATATCTTTAATTTTCAGATTTATTGTCATATAAAGCTTAATCATCACACCGATTCTGAAAAAAACAAAATGACAAATATGCAAAATCAAGTCTTACACGTAAATTTTTAAGTTCCTGAATTCTAATTTACATAAGTTTCATATAATTCGATTTGTAATTTCGATGCAAGCATGCATGTATGAACTTATACGATCAGTTAATATAACATAATAGTTAAGTTATCACATACTGATAAATCTTATGTAAATTTCAATTGTTTACTCTTAAGTTGCAATTTATAGTATATGGTTAAGAGAGGAAGATGGAAAATAATCTGATGTAAATATTAACTCATGGAGGTTATCGCAATAAAAGTTAGGGATGACATTTGATCAAATGTGACCTTTTGATAATAATTCATTTCACTAAATCTGTGCGATTTAATTTATTGCTTCATTATTCCATGGTGAAGTGTAATAGATTACATCAAATGATTACATCAAATATATGATATGATTTTTCAAATATGAAATGATTACATCAAATATTAACTGCAAATAAGTTAAAAATTTCAAAGAATCTTTAAATTTCTAAGTTCAGATCATGAGAGCTTTCCAGAAAAAGTTTGTCATATGAAAATTTCCAGTTCATAATTATATATTCCATAACATGCTTACATATGCAATCCAATAATACTTTAATACGATATTAGATATTTCATTGAATCACTATCGATAATTTAGGATAAAAATGTTCCTTATTTTCGCATAAAAACATTGCATATTCACGTAATATCATTGAGTATCAATACTGAATTTAAATTCTAATCAAATATTTCAAATTTTTGTTAAAAACAAAATATTGCTCATATTTGAAGCATATGGAATGTGATTGTCAGACAAAAGGTACTGCTTTAATGTTCGCATCAGAATTGTTGAATATCGTATTAGAAGTATTTTTATGCTGATAGAACACTGTTCTTTCTTTTTTCCGTTTTTAAAAAATATTTTCTTAAATTTAAATAGGTCGGGTCATCTTAACGAATAAAATATCTTCTATTCCATCGTGATACTTAATTCAAACTATTCATTACAAACAGTTTTAGATTGCAACCATTTTGACAGCGTAATAATCTCTTGATGCCTTCTTTCTTTGGGATTTTTTTTGTCTTTTGTTTTTTGAAATTTTCAATTCATACGTGATACTATGAGAAATAATTAAGCATATGTTAGCATTTTCATCATTATATAGGGATAAAATATTGGCTATAGCTATGGGATAGGAAAAGAATTAACATAAACTTCAAAACATTTAATTAAACATTTTAAATGTAGCAGTTTAATTTTATAGCATGGATAGAACTTTATCCGTATAGTATTGAGAACGATCGAATGGTTTGTTAGATTATTTTTGAAAATAATTCTAACTACACTTAGCTTGATTAGATTTTTTATTAAAATACTAGTTCTCGTTGTTTGAGATTTTTTTTTTTATATTGAACGATTTTTTCAGTTTTTTTTAGTTGAATTATTGTCCCATTTTTGCTGACCTTTTTTTCGAAGGCTTGCGCTCGTAACAACAAAACGGTAATCGATGTCATTTATAATCGTCCAAATCTATACAGCTCCTTTTTTTAATGTCATTTTTAACAGTTAGGAATATTTTTCCGTTATTGAAATCATTTTGAAGTTTGTATTTCATTTGTGCTATTTTTACCGCTTAAGTTAGTGATGTAAAGAAATTTAATAAATAATGAAATACAACGCGCTGAGAGAATTTTGGATACGATATTTGTGGAAAAATTTCAGGAAAGAATGAAATTACTTGAAATAGCTCTGATTGCAGTATTTGTGCAAATGATTGAAAGCAATGTTGTTAGTCGATTGATTTCTTCCTTTCATTTATCATTTTTAAAATTTGCAGTAATGCTATTACTGTTAATGAGATAGTTAATGTTGCGGTCAAAATTATGTTTCAGTTCAGATTCTGAAGAAGGAATAATGATTTCTGTATTTCTTTTAACTTTAATTTATAAAATTTCATTTTATAGACCCGAGAACAAATTACGGACGAAGAAGCAATAAGCGAAAACCTAATGTCATCAGATGATTGTGAGGAAATAATCGATCTGGACGAATCAGGTTTCAAATATACTATTTTCACGACTGATGTGAAATGAATAATTAACTTCTTTGGAGCATAGCTCCTGTATTTGAATTTTAATGCTTTCAGGAACAAATTCATAATTTCGATTTTTCAAATCAAAACTATGAATTCGAGGGTTTCAATTTGAAAAAAAGAAGAATTTCTGGAAGAAAAAGTTTCACATTCGATAAAATCTTTCTCTCCTTCTACCTCTCTCTTCACTAAAGATTTTTAAAATTTTATTTGGATATTATTCGTTAAGAAATTAATATCATAACAGCAATTCCAGGAAATATAATAGATTTTTTTTTCAGCCGAACAAATAGAATCAGAAATATCAACAACGCAAACCGCTAGCATTACAAAATCGGATTCATTAACTTCCACAGAATCGAAAACCAGAAATACACAGTATAACACAAAAGCACCGAAAATCTTAGATCCTTCGATTCTGAAGCCAATAATCTCAATGCATCGTACAACAGCCATTTCAAATCCGGAAAAGATTGAATCATTAGCTGAAGAGATAAATTTGTCTACACTTTCTGAAATTCTTCCAGAATCAAAATCTAACGATTTAGAAAATTCAACATCAACAACACTGTTAGTAACTTCAGAATCCTCTACACCTTCCGTTGCATCATTATCATCGAACAAATTAGAAGATATTTCTGCTATATCTTATGCCACATTCCAAACTGGAAACGATATGACTGATGACTCAATCAGTTTAGAAAACGCGGAAAATTTAGAATTGCAATTATCAATGAGTGAAAAGGACGGAAGAAATGAATCACAAATATCAGTTGTCGATTCGCCATGTCTAAATGAGGTTGTCTCTAACTTTTATCATTTAATCATAAAACATTATCAATCATAAAATATTGATAAAAATTTTTGGGAATAAAAATTTAAAGCTCAAAATTTTATTGTGCAATTGAAGATAATAAAATTGAGGACGATAAAAATAAAAAGCAAGTGATATTTCAAACTTAAAATTTAGTAATTACAAATTTTAGATTTTTAGAAAGTTAAAAAAAAAACGAAGGAGAAAAGTTGTATGTGTTCCAGTGATACTTAGAAAATAATGAAATATTTCAGGAAGAAAGTATTGCTTTTTGTCAAAAAACACTTACCTGCGAGAAAAAATTAAAATGGCATGAAGTGATGTGTCAACGACAATATGCATATCCAAATTTAATTCTCGGTTCATCTCACTTTTATATGTTTACGAATGATATCACTGTTGATATTGTTGTCAGTGATTAAGGATTACAACAAAGTTTCTTTACCGACTATAACTATCAGTTGATTACAATTCCTACTCCTTATATGACTAAAAATAGCAAATTATCTAACAGAATGTGGTTATCAGTAGAGCTAAGAGTTCATGGATGATAATGTATATCCATTTTTCTTTGAGAGAGAGAAAGAGAGAGAAAGAGAGGAGGGAAAATGAAACGTTGTAATAAATTGTTAAAAAAAAGTAAGAAGAACAAGCATTAGCTAGTTTATTCAAGCATTTAATGAAAAACTCGAAATTCCTTTCCACTAAAACGATGGCTTTCTTTGGATGCTGAATGCTGTCAATAGCGAACCTGTTCAAATTTTTATATGGTAGAAATTTTCCTTAAAAATTTGATATATATATATATATATCCTTCTGACAGTTTATGAAACTTTAGATGTGCTGACTTTTGTCGAATTTAATTGCTAACTTTTAATTGAAACTTTTTTTGTCAGCTTATAATCGAATAATGGCGTTGATAAAGTAATTTTGGAATAAATTATCATCAATAATGAGTTAATGAGTTAATCAAATTAAATAACTGAATTGATTTCAAAATATAGACTGAGTGTCAAAGTTTCAAATAATATTAAATCTGACGTTAGTTTAACCTATTACAGAGCCTAATACAAAACTATCCGATATATCTGTTCAAGCCGAAATTATTACCAATGCCGGAATTGCTGGTGCAATGGAATCAGTATCCAAAGCATGCATGAAGCCAATAACAAGCGATATTTTACGACAGGTACCAAAATTTCATCAAAAAAATTTGCTATTTTCTGTAAAATCTGCTTGATTTATAAAAATTCAATTTGTTGCAGCTTTCCAAACTTCTACGTAAAGTGGAATTAAGTCATAAATTGTGTGTGCATCACGCTGTTACCAAACAAAATCTGCTTCCAATTCGTAATGTAAAGTTTTAATTTTTGAATTATGATAATGATGTCAGGTACACATTTCAAAGAATTTCATATCTCAGTTAATAAAGGTATAAATTTCCTGGATAGTGAACAGATGTCATTTCAATATTTTTCAAATTTTCAATTTAATAAATAACAAAAGAGTAAATGAGTAAAATGAGTAAATAAACAAGTAGACTGTTAAATAAAGTTTATTTACTTACTCATCATACGCCTTCATATATTAGTACAATCAAATATGACAGGGTAAGAATAGAACCAGTACAACTAAACTTTTTTTTTTAAATTATGTTTATCGTTTTGAAGGCAATCTGTGAAAAAACAATGATTGATGAAGTGCAAAATGAGAGGAACGATATTGATAAGAGCAAATTCAATAATTTAAAAACACGACAAAATGCTTTTGATTATTGCGCAGCCATAGTAGCACCAATGAAAGAGCAATGCGCAAAATTAAAGCAATGCTGTCCAAGTTATGTCAGGTAAGTATCATAAAATTAGACAAAAGTAAAATAAGCAACGCTGAAATTACGATGTGTCGTTCTTTTTTTTTTTCAGGAATTTGTTATTCATACAAATGGATTATTTAATTTTTG